GGCAAGAATGAAGCCGCTGCCCGGGTGGGCTGGTCTCTCCCCCAGAACCGCTCTCGGTGGGCTATGCCCCAACCGCACGCCCCCCCTTGTTGGGGCTGCGCTGCCCTGAAGAAGGCTCCTTCTCTGCGGCCGAGGCTGCCCCGAGGGAGAGAAAGAGGTCCCCAAGCGGCCCCCGCTCCCTCCTCCTCCCGGCAGAAGGCCAAGGGGGGGGCAGCGGAGGCTCCTGCTCTTCATCCCCCAACCCCAGGACCAGACCCCTCATAGGAAATTTCACACACCCCTTCACCCGGCCCATCTCACCTCCTCGTTCTCTGCCGTCATGGCGGCCGGCTTGGCCTGCAGGGCCAGCTGCTCGTAGTCGCTGGTCAGCTGGTTGGCCAACGTGCCCAGCTCATCTGGGTTGGTGGTGGATTTGGTGACCTGCCAAGCGGGACAGAAGGAGCCGTCAAACCAGCAGGGGTGTGTGTGTGTGTCGGGAGCCCCCGAGGGGAGCAGCCCCTTCGAGTTAAGGGGGAAAGGCAGCTGGGCTGAGGCCCAGGAAACAGCGGAAGGGGGTTGGCGCTGCCCCCCATTCCTGTGGAGAGGAGCCTTGACCCATCTCTTCCCCCACCCCTCCCCGCACAACGCAGCCTGGGCCCCCTCACCATCTCCTGGACAGTGACCGCGATGGCCTTGGCCGTCTTCACCATGGTGGTCTGGTAATCGACGAAGGAGCCGTCCGGCTCTCCCATGGGGCCCTCGTCCAGCTGCGGGGGGGGGGAAAGAGCGGAGCACCCTCAGCAGGCCAGGCGGAAGGACTGCCCCTGCCCGCTTCCTCCCCCCCTCCGGCACACCCAGGAGGCGGCCAGCGGGCTAGCAAGGGCGTCTCGGCATTCTGCCATGCCACCACCCGCCGACCGGCGCGGCCCTCCCCTTCCCGAGCAGGGTGGGCGCTGCTGTTCTCGGCCGCCGCGGGCCCGTGAGAGGTGGCCGTGGTTCCACACAGGGATCCCTTGCGCCGGCCCAGTCGCCTCCTCTCTTCCCCTGCTGCTCCTGAGCCGGACGCGGTGCCTGCTCTGCCCAAAACGGGGATCAGCGGAAGCTCTCCCTTCCCGAGTGGCTTGACCTTGTAGGGGGGGGGACCGGCCGTCCTGGGCTAAGGGCCCCAGCCCTGCCCACTCTCGTGACTGCTGTCACTGAGGGTCACCCCCCGCCCCCCTGCCCCCTTGGTCATGCACGGCCTATGGATCCCAGCCAAAGCCTGGAAGAGCCACTGCGAGGGGATGGAGGGGCCAAGGCCGGCCCTTTGCCACTACAGGCTAGAGCGGGGCGACAGCACCACAAAGCCAAACCCTGGCCAGAGAGGATTCCTTTTGTTTGTCTCAAATATTTTTACCCCACTCTTCTCCTTGAAAAGGACCCCGAATGGCTGGCATCCTATGGAAAGTCAGTCTTTAAGGCTAACAAGATACAGCTGCCCTTTTCCGCTCTGATCCGTGGTGACCTCTCGGGGCTCCCGAGTCTGGCCACCGACTGTTCTGTCTTGTGGTGCTTCAGACGATCCCGGGAAGAAAAACGGGGCCATGCCTCCCCCCCACCACCACCTGGAGCCTGCAGGTGGGGGCCAAGCCTCTCCCTGTTCCCTCCCCAGGCCCCTGGCCCCCTGGCATCGGGCGCTGGGCCAGGGGGCGCTCACAGAGGCTGAGGTCCCCCAGCCCTCCCCCCGCAGCGGTCGAGTGCCCCACAAGTGCCCGAAGGGGAGCCTCCCTCTTGCCTCACCTGGTTGATGGCTTGCGTGATGGAGTCCACCATTCCGCCCACGACGCCCGCGGCACTCGCCGCCTCGTTCAAGGTGGCCGTGAGGTCCTCGACTGCCTCCTTCATCATCTGTACGGCCTCGTCCAGGGCTTCCTGCGTGTGCGGCGCTTGCTGTGAAGGAAAGGGAGGGGGCAACTGTGTGTCACCCTTAGGGAAGAAGCACCAGCAGAACCAGACTCCCCACCCCCGGAGGAGGGTTGGCCTGGGAAGACACGGGGGGGGGAGATGCTTCTTGCGGCCCCAACCCCACTCTGAGCTAAGAAGAGGGGCAATACTTTGGCAGGCGCTCCAGGATCGGGGCTGGGGCCGGGGCCACAGCCAGGTCCCTATAAGAGGAGGCGCCGCCTTGACCCACGGTGCCCACCTTGGGGTTCCCGCCGGCCTCCTTGGCCGTGTAGAGCATCTGGAGGGCGGACTCGGCCAGCGTCTTGGTCTGGTCCAGCAGGTTCATCTGTTGCTGGTGGTTCAGCATCTTGGAGGCAGCGCCCACGGAGGCCAGCACCAGGGGCTCAAAGTACTGGGCCAGCTGGGAGACCTGGGAGAGAGCAGGGGAGGGGAGGGGAGGGGAGGGAGGAAGGGAGACTCAGCCCCTGCACAGGGTTGGGAGGGCGGCTCTCCAGCGGAGGAGCTACTGGCGCCCCATCCCCACAGCCACCCCTCTGTGCAAAGACAGGCGGCATCACCATCCTTCCTCCCCCCACCCCATCACCTCCAAGATGCCGTCCTCCTGGGAAGGCCTTTTGCTTGGCATGGAGCCCCACTGAAGAAGCTAGGGGGGCCGAGGGCCCTGCAGAAGGCAGGAGCAAGCCCTCCCCCCCAGGCTGCTGAGACGCAACACCCCCGGTTCACTTGCCCGCCCCCCCAAAGGGGAGCCAGCGAACCCCTCCAGCACAGGTTGGTGGCGGCCCCACTGAATGGGCCCCACAGGCACTGGGGCAGCTGCCGAGGCTTGCTCACAGGCTCCACTGCCTGCCTGGCAGACCTGTGCCCCCCCCCCGTGGGTTTGCCAGCCTGGGCCCTCTCGTCAAGACCCCAAATAGGAGGGATTCCCTTGCGGGCAGACGGGAATGTCCGAAAGGCCCCACAAGTGGGTCGGACCACAGCTGGCTCCCCTGGCCCCATATTCTGTCCCCAGAGCGGCCCCTCCCTCTCGGGCTCCCCAGCAGCCGGCGCGGATCGGAGGCTGTGGCAATCAGGGACCTCTCTGGGGAAGAGCCGAGGGCCACCCCAGGCGCGCACACACACACACACACACAGGGCCTCCTGCCCAGCCTGACTGCCAACCTGGCGGGTTGGGTTGGCTTCCCTCCTGAACGCCCGCCTGCCCGCCCGCCCGGCCTCATCCCCTGTTAGACCCCCTGACCTTGTGGCCCAGCTGGGAAGCCTCGGCACGCGCGGCACCAGCCACAGGCTCAATGAGGTGACTGATCTCCTGGACTGCCGTCAGCATCTGGTTGTGTAAGGCCTGGTGAGAGAAGGCGGTGGGGGTGGGGTTGGGTCCCTCGTGAAAAGGCCCGGGGAAAGGGCCAGCAGCCCCCTCCTCCTCCTGGGGCTGCCATGGCTGAGGGAGTGGGTGCCCCCCTGGGGCCCAGCCCTGCCCCACTCTGCCGCAACGGGAGTCGCCACGCGCTGGGCAGCGCTCCTTCTGCCCCCTGAGCCCTCCGAGGGAGGCCCTCTTCCCTTTCTTCTCCCAACTTGGGGGGCAGACCACAGTGCCCTCCCTCTTCCCCAGAGCCGACATCAAGCCCTTCCGCACGGGCCGCCCTGCGTACCTCCTGGGAGATGCCCTCCCGGGGAGCCAGCTGCTGGCTGATGGCGGCGAGCGAGGCTTGGTCCACGTCCCGGATGCACTTGCTCAGCACCTCAATGGCCTCGTCACATTCCCGCTGGCCGGGAGCCTTGTCCCTGGAGAAATGGCCACAGGCACCCGGTCGGCATGGCTGCCCACGCCAGCCACGCCCAGCAGCAGCCACAGGGTCCACTACCCACAGAAACTGAGCCTAGGCCCTGCCTGGTGCCTCTTTCCCCCCCCCAGCCCACCCCCTCCAGCCCTGGCGGCCGAAAGCCACCCAGAGAGGGAGAGATCCGCGGGGGCGTTCTGGAGCCGGGGCCAAACAGGGACAGGACCCACAAGCAGGGTCTTCTGCTTCCAGAGATGCTCTGCATGCCTCTAGGCGAGACTCCAGGAAGCAGCCCCCCCTCCCTCCTCCCCCAACTGGGTCTCCTAGGGCTCCGAAGGGCCAGGGCGCTCACCTCATGTTGGTGATGAGCTTCTTGATGGAGTCGGAGACGGTGCGTGAATGTCCCGCCAGCACGGACCACTTGGGCGGGTCCTTTGGGTTGACGGCCAGCGAACGGGCGGTCTGGATGAGGCCGGCAGAGCTCTCCAGCATGGTCTTGGCTGAGGAGAGGATGGGCTCCATTGCTCTGCGGCCCTGCAGGAAGAGGGAAGCATGAGGGTGGCCAAGGATTCCCCCACCCGCCCCTTGACGAAGGCGGCAGGCTGCTCTCCGTGTCCTCCCCCAGCGTGAACTCAGCGCTCGGGAGCCAGCTTGCAGAGGTTTGGGGGTGCCCGCCTGCCCCCAAAAGACAGTTACCTCCGGGCTGATCTGCGCCGGGATGGTGGCAAACTCGGGGTTGGAGGCAAAGGCCGCCAGGTTGTCCACGGCCTCGATCAGGGGCGTGGTGGCTTCGCGGCAGCGCTCACGGTTCTCTGGGGTGAAGGCCCCGTCCAGGGCCTGGAGGGAGGAGAGAGACGTGCCCGAAGCCGGCTGGTGATGCCCCCCCCCATATGAAGAACGCTGCTGCCACTCACCGCCCCCCCATGCCCCCCCCGCGCCCCCCGCCAAAAATCTCTGATGACA